ATTAGGGAGGGCAGGTGATGTGATGAGCACTAGCTTTTATATGCAACTGATGAATCACTAAATTCTGCCCCTGAGACTAATAATACAGTATATGTTAACTAAATTGAATTTAAATAAAAAATTAAAAAATAATCTAGTGCCAAAAAGCACACGCTTTGAGGATAGACTGCTTGATTTTGAATCCTGGCTCTACTGCTTTCTTCCTGTGTGACCTTGGAGACCTCCTTAACCTCTCTATCCCTTGGTTTCTTCATCTGCAAAGTGGACCTAACAGTGGAATATGCCTAATAGTTATGAGAGCTCTGCATTAAAATGTTTTTATCATTTTGATTTTTTTTTTTAATTTTTACTTATTTATTTGACAGAGAGACAGAGAGAATAGGAACACAAGCAGGGGGAGTGGGAGAGGGAGAAGCAGGCTCCCCGCCGAGCAGGGAGCCTGATGTGGGACTCCATCCCAGGACCCTGGGATCATGACCTGAGCTGAAGGCAGACCCTTAATGACTGAGCCACCCAGGCGCCCCTCATTTTGATTTTTTTAAGTGCATACTTTTAAATTTTCCATTGTGGAATTTAAATGGGTGTTTATAACTAAAATTCTTGCATTTCTAGAAGTAGAAGCCTCACATACCACTGTTTTATATTTGTATTATAGTTGAGACACTTTTGTAGGTTTATATTGTATGACTTGTTTACAGAAAATTAGTTATTAGGTTAGATAGTTTGTTGAATATACTTATTTGCCCCATTACTGTTTATCCATGAAAACAGGATTGCAGAAGCAGCATCAATAAACACTAGGAAACCCCCAAACCAGAATTGAGTACTACCTCAGATCCTATGAAATTACTAGTAAGGAGTTCAAGACCTTGTGTCATGCTTTGCAGTTGTCTTGTGCTTTCAGGCAGATCCTCTCTCGGTCCCTTGGCCATCCTGCATGGACCGCAGGCAGGTTCTGAAACTGCTCCAAGCCTCAGTTTTCTCTTCTGTGAAACTGAGACCTATGATGTGAGCAGGGTCACAGGACTCATGTGTGATAGAGAGAATGCCAGAACCCCCTTCTTCTGATTGCTAATCCCTGCTTTTCTTGTGGATCATAACAAAACTCTTATTATGGTAAAACTCGGTCAACTGCGTCATCAGGGAAGACGCCACTGCCGAGGATAATTTTCTAAGTAAACAGGGTATAGCTGTCTCAGTCTTTTGATTTAATTTGCTGTTTTAAATTTAAAAGTCCGTAATAGCCTGTTGCTCTATTTCCTTAACACAGCTGACATACTAGCAGGCTGCCCAGCTTCACTCCCTGCCCTTCCTGTGGATAACGCAGGCATCCTCATCCTGCAGCCCAGGGCGCTCACTGGCTGTGCTGCCAGCATGGCACCCTATCCTTTTAGGGGGGAGGTTCGGATACCTGGTGGGTGAGCCTTTACAGTCACTTAGACACACACGCAGCCAGGAGGCTCCTTATCTGCAGTGGCAGCTGCGGCCAGTGAGGCGCCGGGGCTCGTCACTCTTTTCCTACTCCCGCCCAGGCTCGGGAAAGTCTCAGTCACAGGCTGTTTTCTCAGGAATCTGGTGTTCTCTCTGCTTTTGCCACTTCTGATTTCTGGTTCTGTTTTTGTTCTCTCAGCCACACTGCTCTCTGATTTTTCCTCCTCCTCCTCTGATCCCATATAGTCTTTGAGCAAGCGTGTATTGAACACCTGTGACATGCTGGACCCCGAGGATGCAAAGGAAAGGACAAAACAAGGCTCAAAAATGAGTGTGGTGGGTAGAAGCGCCAGAACAGTAGTCGCTGTGCCGGCCGAGTGGGGAAAGGCTGCGTTCTGTTCAGAAAACCTGGGGATGGCTTCACAGCGCAGGCGCCTGTGCGTGGTCACCTGTGGGAAACTGGAGGGGAATTCTGTTCCAGAACTACCCGGAGTAACCACAGCCCTGAGATAGGTGTCAACCGACTGCCCTGTTCGCAAGAAGTGAAACGTAGCGTAACTAGAGAATTGTGACCTAGAGGTGGCATAGAGAGAGAATAAATGTGCCAGACGACGAGTCAGTGGGGCTTTGTGAGAGGAGCAGGGTAGCCCCAAGCTTCTAACATACAACGTGGTGGTGCACGAGCTAAAGTCAGGGCTGCGGGAGAGGGCAGACTGTGGGGGGAAGATCCTGAGCTCCGCTTGCACGTTCAAGGTAGGGGTGGGCTCCAGGTGGAGTTGCCCAGGAGGCAGCTGGAAATACGGGTCCAGGTTCCCGGGGTCAGATATGGTGACTTTAGGATTCAGATGATGGTTTTAACCTTAGACTGTCCAAAGGGAATACGAAAAAGAGAAAAGGACGCGCCAAGGAATGAGAGCCTCCAGGGATGGCCGGTGTTTCACTCTTAACTGGTGCTTCGTTAGGACACAGTGATGGGAACGCTGAGCCAGCAAACCCTTGCAGGTCAGGTGGGGGAGAAGCTGCCAGAGACACCCAGGGCCGAAAAGTTGGGCAGTCAAAGAGGGCAGCGTCTGTAGTGGGAGGGTAGCAGGCAGGAGTGCGGACGGGAATCCTGGTGAAGTGACTTTTGGGGCTCACTGGTATCAGTACAGTCTGTCCTGCCTTCGGAGAGCCTGCTGCTTCTCAGATTTTACATGAAAGGATTGATGTTTATGACATATTTATTGATCTATATCAGCTAATCAGAACTTCTTTTGCTTTCTGGGGCACCTGGGTGGCTCAGTCGTTAAGCGTCTGCCTTCGGCTCAGGTCATGATCCTGGGGTCCTGGGATCGAGCCCCGCATCGGACTCCGTGCTCGGCGGGGAGTCTGCTTCTCCCTTTTCCCTCTGTGTTCGCCTGCGCGCTCTCTCGCTCATATAAATAAACAAAATCTTTTTTTAAAAAAAAAAAGCACAGCCTTTGCTTTCTAATTGGAAGACTGAACTGAATAAGAGTATCTATATATTTTTTTAAAGATTTTATTTCGGGGCGCCTGGGTGGCTCAGATGGTTAAGCACCTGCTTTCGGCTCAGGTTGTGGTCCCAGGGTCCTGGGATCGAGCCCCACGTCTGGCTCCTGGCTTGGCGGGGAGCCTGCTTTTCCCTCTCCCTCTGCCTCTCCCCCTGCTCATGCTCTCTCCCTCTCTGTATCTCTCTGTCTCAAATGAATAAATAAAATCTTAAAAAAATATATTTTATTTGAGAAAGAGAGAGCACAAGCAGGGGGACGGGCAGAGGGGGAGAAAGAGGGATAAGCAGACCCCCACTGAGCAGGGAGCTCCGTGTGGAGCTCCATCCCAGCACCCTGGGATCATGACCTGAGCCAACAACAGACGCTTAACCAACTGAGCCACTCAGGCGCCCCAAGAGTATGATTTTTATCTTTCATTGGTTTGGCTGTTCTTGTTTGCAGCTCAGAAGGCTTTCTTTTTCTCCCCTTCATACGGCGGATTGTGTTCTGGATCTAGCCAGTCTACAGTATATTAGAAAGTTCCCCATCAAAAATTGTACTGTGCATGGATTTGGTGATACTAAGCCCTTCTAATCGGAACATTTATTAATATGTGAACAATACAGTTCACCTCTGATGTCCCTAGCTTCAACTGTAAATGTACTGAGAGCATGATGCTCACAGTGCATTTGATGATTCGGCCTGCCCTGCTCAAAGATGGAGTGGGTGGAAGTCTGCTTTTCTCTCCGTCTGTTTCAATCCCTAGATATCTGTTATGGTATCACTAACTCTCCAGAGAGAGGACGAATCTGGAGTTTAAAGAAATGTGTACACATATGTATGTATTTTTTTGTGTAATATAACCTCTATACATGAGCAGCCCATTTGACCTGATGCTCAGAAGAACTCGCCATCTGTTCAATGCTGGAGGAAGTAAGCTGTTTTCAGCCCACCAGGAGGTAGTAAGTCTCCTTCTGGGTCTTCCAAGGGCTTTTCAAGGGTGTTTTTGACTCTAGACCCTTCCCCATCCCTGTGGACTTTAAATCCTGGCACTCACATAAGATGCAATCCCGTGCGTCAGTACTCATGCATGAAATCCACCTTCCCTCTTTGTCATTTTTTGGTGGGAACACCAACACTGTGTTTGGTAAAAGGACCACAAGGTCCAGCTCAGGGCAAAGAGGACAAATTGAAGCCTTTGGTATCCTGACTCGGGAAGAGGGCTTGGCCTCCTGGGGAGTAAGAGTAGGATGGTAATGGGAATCGGGGTCCTGAAGAGTCAGTGAGGTGGTGGGCTGTCAGGGAAGGGCTTGGAACCTTAGCATCTCGTCCCAGAGACTCCAGTTACAGCCAAGGGGAAAGTACTCAACCTCCTTTGGCCTTACTTTCACTTGAGACGAGGTGATTCTGGGTGAATTTGTTTTGGAGGAACAGAGAAAACAGGTGGACAAATCCAAGGAAAGGTGGGGAGTCTTTCAGATCTTGTTGAGGTTCTACTTTGTATGACTTAGTATGATGATTATCCTGTTGGTAGGCCTTCACCTGGGGAAATGGCATTATTTAGGTACTTTTGCAGGATCTCTGAGGCTAAAGAAAGAAGTTGCACTGACACCAATGTAGTTCACCCAGGATGGTTTTTGGACCCGAACAATGCCTGTTTAGGTGACTTGGCTCTCTTTTAGCTTATGTAGAATCATATATATAGATAGAGATATATACGTTTATTCATTTTGTATGTACTTGATCTCTACTCTCCCTTATATCTATCAGTCTAACTCCTATATCACCTGTAAGACCCAGGACTGCACTCTTGCAAACACTTTTCTATTCTGGCTCGTAGTAATTGTTCTTTTTATATTCCTGTGTCTTTTTCCCTTTATACCACATGGAGTAGCAATTTTGTCAATAATTTTTGCTGATCATTTGTTTGTAGCTGTTCAGTTCTGGGCACAGAATTACAGACTGCTTTGTTTTATTCTCTTTTTGTTTTATATTTGTATTATCTTCGGCCCCAGCTAGCATGTAAGTTTCTTGATAAATACTGTTCTTTTTGTTTTGTGTCATTTTCTTTTCCTGTAGAGCTTTCGTTGTTGAGGTTCCTCAGTGCTGAACTAACAAGAGGGTACTTCCTTGAACATAATGAGGCCAAGTATACGGAAAGAAGAGAAAGAGTATACACTTGTATGCGAATACCAAGAGAATTGGAAAAGGTACTATTTTTTTTTCTATTACCAGACATCATTTTGAAAGTTATGTCAACATGTTAATTATATGAAAATAAATTGTGAACAGCTTGAGCTGAGTTTTTAAAATATTGGAAATAATGTGATCATAGATAATTAAATATATTGGGAGTAGGACTTCCCATCCAGGAAGAGGCTTTAAAACTTGTATTTTTAGTGTAAGTAAGATCCAGTGTTTCTTAACTTTGCTATATATTAAACTTACCGTATTTCCACTTGTGTCTCAGCCAGGTCACTTTTTCCAAGGAATTACTCTCTACCTACTCCTTTAGTTCTCATCAGTTTTATTGTACTAGGGGCAGTATTCTTTCCATTCAACATGACCGAGTATTTCATTTCAGCCCTTTTAAAGGTTTCAGTTTCTCAGAAAGCCCTCATATTTAAAACATAAATGATAGGCTCTTCAAAGAAAAAGACAATTCATTGCATCTTTGCCACAGAAAACCTCACACGCTAGGGTGAGTGTGGCCACAGCAGCACTGACTCCGTGCACGCGGTGTTCCCGCCGTTCTGTCTCAGGTCTGTCAGGACCAGTCAGAGATGTTGGGAAGGCCGCTCTTTTCCCTCTGCATTGCTGCAGTTGGTACATCTGAGCAATTCCAAGATTTCTCGCCAGAAAGGAGGAATTAAGAAATCAGCTTTGTATTAGAACACGGTTTTGTGCTTTTATAGTAACTTAAAACTTTTAATAGTTTGATCAGTTCCTTAGAATCTTACTTTCTGTTGGCGTGGCTGTCAGAGGAGTTTTGCTGGTTTGCTCGGTCCGAGTGTTCTAGAACAAGAGGGGCGGGAGACAGTGAGGAGCGAGGACCCAGCTGGTTGGGCTGATGGTCTTTTACTTCCGACAGTCCCATCAGTGTGGTAGAGGGAAGGGAGGCAGCTGGAGAGTGACAGTTCGAGAAGTGTTGCTTCACATGGGCGCGGGGTGGCAGGTCGCGCGTGCTGCTGCTCGAGGGCGTTCTGGGCTCGGGTAGGGAGAGATGAGAGCAAGCGCGGCCTGGAGAGGGAACAGTGCTGACGTGAGACAGTGGCTGCCTTAGTTATGATTGTGTGGCTGCCTCTCTTGGGAGGCTCGGGTTCCAGGGAAGAGTCAGGGCCTGGGGGGTGAGATGGAGGAGTGTGGGGCGCTCTCGGCACCACTGCTCCCCCCGTGCGGCAGCACCTTGATTTTGTATATTGGAATTTATTTAAGATTTTGGCCAGCGATGGGGGGTAATGTTTCTTTTGCTTGCCAATAATAATAGTAATAGTAATTCTTAAGTCTTTCTTAAACACATTAACTTATTTTCTGAGCTCCCTTTTTCTTTCCAGTGATAAGCCAAGACAGAGAAATGTGAGGATACACAGCAGAGGGAATTGGAGGGAGGTTTGCTGGGATCTGTATCCTTGTATAGGACAGTGCCAGCCACAGTCAGCTTTTACCCACCTGGTCTCTTTGAGGGAAGGTTTTTCTCTCACCTGCCTGAACAGTTGTGGATTCCCATTTTTCTCTGCGGAGTGCACGGAGATTTGCCTACAATCCACAGCCAAACTGTGGACACACCCAGGGGATTGCTTTAAAGCAAGAAGTGTGTGTGTCTGACCCGTTTTATTACCCAACGTGGGGCCGAAATGATGAGCAGCGGCCACAGCCCTCATGGTGGTGAGCTCATCGGAGGAGGGTCAATACACATATCCTTCTCTTCTCTTTACTGGCACCACTGACGTGCCAAGCAGTTTCTCGGTAGACTTCTCACAGAAACTTGCGACCGTTTCAGGTTTGTTAGTGTGAGTGTTGTCTTCTGGGGAAAATGCCCACAAACCTTGGTAGGACTTCACTATGAACCAGGGTGTTTTTCAAACCATGGTGCATTAAGGGACCACTGATGGGATGGGTAACTGATGAGGTACATTGCAGCCAATTAGGAATTTCTTTTTAAGGAAAAGAATAGAAAAGTTATCAGAGTGCATTGCCCATAGGAGGGTAAGTATTTTGTCATGAAACTTTGGTTTTATTTGTGTGTCTGTAAGGGGTATAACATCAGAAAAGTTGAATTAACACTGCTCATGCACAATTGTAATAATTTTCTAATCCTGTTTCCTATTACAGAGGCTTTTGCGTTGGGCCTATTTAGGAAAGTTTGATTTAGTCTCTTAGAACAACACTTCAGAAGCTTTATTGCTTAAAATGTACAAAAGGGTGCACATTTTTCAGTTTAGAACAATTTCTTCTTCTCAGAATAAGTGAAATACAGAGGAAAGCAGAGTTCTATTTCAGTTTGATCACAGGCGTAAATATCTCGTAACAGGGTGAGTTCCTTCTGGTGTCTCCCAGACGTTTATGTTATGAGTAGGGTTTCACCAGGCTTTTATTATAAAAGTTGGGAGCGGGCTATCTAGATGTTCATGTCAGTAAATTTATTGTCTAATTGGTAATACCTAATATATAATATCTTTCCCTGATACAGAATATAGAATACTTCTAATATATAACACTGTGTTCATTTTTTTTCCTTATTTTTTGGTAAATGCTATGATATTTTCATGTAGCCTTTCCAGGAGGAGAAGCTTGACAATTAAAGAGCACTTTGCTTCTACAAGGATTGCACGAGCTATAAAACACCTAATTAATGTTTATACTTTCAAGTCAAGAGAGTGGTCAACTCAGTATCTCTTACTGAACCTGTTTACTAACGTGAAAAAAATTCCAGAATTTTTGTGTAATTTCCTCAGTGGAAAAACACATACTTGACATTCAAAACAGGTAAATTGCTTATACATTCAAAGTAGTATTTCCAGTGGCTGGCACTGTTTTCATATTTGAACTTTTCATTCTGATGTGAAAGAATGAAATTTTGGAGTGTTTTGTTGGCCTTGGGGAGCATTTCCTTTTTTTCTGCCACAAATCCCTTTCCACCCGCACCCACACACCCCTTGGGTTCTCATCCTAGATCTGTTACTCACCGTGTGTGATCTGTGTGGGGTCTGTATTGTTCTCTGTACAGCGGAGGCCACCGAACTACACTGTCTCTGCAGTCTAAACTGAGGGCAGGATAGGACAGTGGTCAAGGGCATAAAGGCTAAAGCCAGCCTGCCGAGACTGGCATCTCCCCTCCACCACTTATTAGCTGTGAGTCTTGAGCCATTCACTTCTGTCCATTTGCCTCAGTTTTCTCATCTGTATATTCATTATGGGTGAGCCCCATATAAATGTTTTAAAATATTTTATAGTCCTCACCTCAGCAACTTGGGGAATGCCCTGCCCTAGGAGAGCAAGAGAAATTTGGAAAGGTTGCTCATCTCCAGGTTGCATTCCGGGGGGTATCCCCTCACAGGAGGGATAGCTGTCGTCTGGGGCCTCCCTGGACAGCAAGGGCTGACCGGGAGCGGTGTGGTTTCCCTGGCTCCCCCATGTCCCGCTTTGATCTTACGTTAGACTTTTAATCTTCCTGCTTCACTTGCTGCTAAATTGACTTTTCTAACCCAGCAAGGGACATGGTTTTCTGACTCTCCTCCTCCTTGGATTGTTGACCACGGGCAGTTTGGGGGAGAACTGTTTTCTTCCCTCCTTTCTTGTAACCATGCTGTCTTAGAGTAAAGCGTGTCTCTTTCATGAAGGATTTAGCTGGTGGTCAAAAGAGATAGTAGCACACCCTGTCACCCTGACGTCTTCTGTCAGGCCCTCTAGAGTCTGGCCTCAGCAGGTACATGACTTAGAGCTTATGGTTAGGTCAGACAGTGACACTTTTTAGAAGCTTTCTGAAATCAGGGCAGGATCACCAGTTTCTTAGACAATTCCTGGTAAGTGCTCACTACTCCATAGCCCCCCTTGATTTGTCCATTTACATCCCACCTCTGGCAGCTGTTTCTGTGTGAATAAAACAGATAGCAGTTATCAGATAAGGATTAGGTGCCATGCACTGTCCCAGGCACTTTAAATGAGTTAGCATTCCATCTCTCCCACACACACACACACACACCCTGACTCAGATGTCCCACCATGAAGCTGCTCAGAAGCAGGAAAGCCATGGGGATCTGCATTTCTCAGAATCCAGCGTCTGGGCAGCCCAGGCTGACCATTCCTTGGGTTCTGAGGCTTGTTGCCCCCTGCTTGGAGTGGCAGTGGCCGAGGCTTCTTCACGCCTGTGCAACAGTCTTCACCTTTCTTAACTCTCTTGGAGGACAGGGCCCGTTTGGCAACAGCAGTGGCAGCCCCCTCCAGAAGTGGGGCTTGGCGGTGATGGCGGAGCGGCCGGCGTCCAGGGCCTCGTGGCCTGGTGGAGGCCCCGCTACCTGTTGGGCGTATAGGACCCATGCGACAGCTCTAGGACAGCCAGCCAAAGACTTCAGGCTCTACCCCATTCACTGATGTAGTTAAAAGACAACTTGTGAAGTCGGCACTGTGGGCCCGTGTTTATCTTTTTGAATCAGTAACTTATTTGTGTCTCGTTAGCTTTGGAAACAGTTTTACATCTCTCCCTCTCTCTTTCCGTTGTGCCATCACAAGCCATTGTGATCTCTCACTTAGACCACTGTTCTCCTTCACTGTCCTCTCTGCTTACTCAGCTTGCTGTAATGCTCTGATCACTCCCTAAAAAAGTAGATTGGAGCTGAGAAGTGGTGTGGTGGTGTGACGGTGGCCGGCAGCAGCTGCCACACCTCTTTTCCTCAGCGGGACTCTCAGATGTGCCCTAGGGTCTGCAGGGCATGTCCAGCCCGCTGTGTTACAGCGCTCTCTGCTCTTTGCAAATGCCAAGTAATGGTCCCTGCCTCAAGGGGCATTGGGAGGATTCAAGAAATCAATGTGGGTCAAGTGCTTAGAGTATAACAGTATTCAACATGGCTGTAAAAGAAGCAGGAAAATCCAGGACCTTTCCATGTATATAGTCTTTCTACAAATTAGAATCTTTAATTTGTTTCTTCATTTACCTCTTAAGAAATTTATTCCCCATGTTAAAATATATGTCAGGTGTAGATTGTGATTATTA